AAACCATGTTGAAGGGCACAATCTTTTCTCCAGGGAAAAACACGGTTTGATTAGAGGCCTATCATGCTTGATGAATCTTTTCATTCCAAAAAAGATTGGGCAGGAACATTCCAGGAATATTCCCGTAGATGTAATTTTCAAAGATCTAAGTGAAGACTTCGATAAGGTCTCCCATTTTAGTCTTAAATTCAGACTGTAATGTTTTGGAATCAATTATACAGTTGTAGATTGGATGAGTAACTTTCTCCATGTTAGGATAAAAAGGGTGAGGGTTAGTGATGCTCTGTCTTCGTGGGTACCTGTAAAAAGTGGAGCTCAGCAAGATACAATCCTCGGTCCTCTTCTCTTTTTACTTTATGTAAATTAATTACCAACTGTTGCAAAATCATCCGTTCTGCTCTTCGCTGATGACAGAAATATTTGGAGACCCATACATAGTATGTCGGACAGAATATCATCACAGGACGATCTTAGCTCGTTGGTGGCATGGCTAGACAGGTGGTCACTAGAAGTAAATCCTAATGAGAGTGTGTAGAACTATGGTCTACTACGATATTAGTACTGCTCTAATAATAGACCTAATCCTAAATTTGTAGATTCGTCATGATATAACTGCCTAATCTTTAAGATCTTACGTGGAAGTCACACCATCGACTACGCCAACTCACTGTATCGTATCAATTACCAATACATGATGAAGAACCAGCTTAGTTTAGAGAAGGAACAATATATTTAATATGAATAGAGACCACGCCTGCATGGCCGAGCCATGCCACTCGATCAACTCCAGTCCATTCAATTCATTCATCGCGCCTTCTCCATTGTTGGGTATTTCCCCGAGTTAAATATTGAATATCTATTTTCTGAGTAGTCTCGTGTTCACAGCTTTGTGGATTGTGTGGCTATTGTCCAATGCCACTACACTACTCTCCCACCAGAATCAACGTGATGTTGGTTCGATACCAAATTGGATGGGATCGTCGTGCGCCGAAGGTTACCAAGACTAGGAAGAATCCCCCGGGTAATGATAAGCTGAAAGATAAATCAAAAAGAAAGGCGGCAGCATCTGGTCGGGAAATACATGTAATAATTTTTTTTAAAATCTGCCTTCATGCTTAACACACTTAAAATGACAATTTGGGTGAAGATTATTTGAGCTATAAAAAAAAATGGGATTACAATAATAATAATAATAAAACAATGCGTGTTAATAGCCGTTGGTTAATAACTTGACGTATAGGTAGTAAGTATTTTGTGTTTAGAAATATTAAAGTAATGAATATTGTAGAAATGTTAATATTGGTATTAGTTTTGGTTTAAATTATGAAACCAATTAACAATTATGCTGGTAACCCGTCCATAAGTGATTTCCAATTGCATCTGTATTAGTAGGCTAACTGGGAGAACAAAAGTATTACCATGGAAAAGAATTCCAACTAGTGTTCCAGTTAGTTTGATACGGTTTATTTAGTTACGGGGAGATTTTCTCAACCTCATTTTTACTTGACCGTGATAGAATTTATTAATACTACTAATACACATGAATGGTTATCAAAACAATATTTAAATACGTGAGTGATAATTATGTGAATTTTGGACAGATAGCTAGAAGCAAATCGTTAAAAATGAGTGTATTCGTAAGAGATATGCTCTAAACTCAATGTTTTGAGTTGCCATAGACTATTTATACATATTTATACCTGACGGCTGATGATGCATACAAGTTAGTTGCAAGTATGCAGTTTATCATAAGGCGGAATACGATTTAATTGAGATATAGTGGTTATAAGTTATTGAAATCAGTTAAGCCTATGTGTCATATTACGAAGTGATGTGGTGCTGCAAGATGTATTTAGCTAAATATGTTTTTACCAGATGATTAATAGTGAGTGATGCTCATGTGATTATCAGGGAGAACATAAGTTGTAACCAAGGGGAGTACACTCCCAACTCACGTCTATGATAATGGCTTGAACCTTAGTCAGTGTTGGGGTAAATTCGACATTGATGTTTTCAGTTTGCAGGAGATTTGCTCGACTGCTTATACTGATTATTTGCATGCATGATTGTGTCGCTAAACCTCCAATTAGACTGACAAGGTTTTGAGATATTTACTGAATGAGCAACTGATAAACATACTGTAATCATCCGTAGTGAATGAAGATAAAAGAAAAACAACACTAGTGATAATTATAAGTCAATTTGCTGACCGATTTTGTTAATAGTCTCATTAATTTTATCAATCATATTACGTGATTGTCAAGTCATGACAATGCTTCATGACGATATCCTGAAACTATTAAATTTAACTTGTTATAGTGTTGATTAAGGATAAGTCAGTGGAAAAATAGGTATTGTTGCTTTAGGTGATTCAAAATCATCAGAAATTTATAACGTTAAAGAATCCGAGACACCTAATTTAATTATAAATTTCAATTCAGAAATATTCGTTTAGTGTTAATTCTAGCAGGCTACGGAGTTTTGATTTTAAACGTTTGTTTAGCCAACAGCTACTTGGGGATTTAGTTATTTCACTAGTGCAGTTGATAGTACCTAAATTTTTAATCTTATTATCTAAACTATGTTCGCAATTTAGGCTGCTAATATGATAAACCAATCCATAAACCCAAATACGATTAGCAACAACGACTATGATGGGTTTATTGATAAATGTTAAAGGCGATCCAGATGATTTCTAAATTTATAAGATATGGAGATATAGTGTAACGTATGTATGGGCCAGGTTAACATGCAGGTTGTTGACGTTGAACATGACCAGAAAATAATTTTAAAGTTTAGACTGCTTGTGAAACTTCAGGCAGGAATATGATGCGTTATAAACATTCCATAAGAAGTTACTGCATTTAGCCTAGGGACACTTACAAATATATGGCAAAAGGAACCGGAAAACATATACATGTTAAGTAAAAAAAAAAATCATCCAGTAAAATAGTTGAACTCACCTGGATTATTTTTGAAAATTAGATTATTCAGTGGACGACATATATAACGCCATTCGTGAGGAGTAGTAATGATCCAAAAGCATACAGAATAAAACATACAGTATGGCAATCACTTCCAGGGTGCTTGATGCTGTTGAGGTCTTTGGGACTCGCTCTGATCAGAACAACTGAATGAATCCAGATAATTGTGTGTGCCATCTAAAATGAACTTATGATTGCAGAAAACTTATAGCTGGAACTCACCGTATGTTTTTGGAGTAGTCATCCTCGTTGTTTGGCAATGGAACTCGAGAATATGAAATTAGGCAGGCAGTGGTCGGAAGAAAAGATATTACAGGCTAGTGCATCGTTTAAAACAGGATGAGGTGTTAAGTGAAGGAACACTGAGAATTAGATCCAGATAACTATTTAGTCCTTGATCGCATTGTTAGTCAATGTATATTTACGCTATTTACAGGTCATATTTGCTAGAGCTTGATGTTTAAACAAGACTATGTCGCTGAAGCATGTAAATGCTATTACAGCTTGTTAACAAATCATCCAAGCTAATTAGTTAATATAGACGACCAGTTTTTATTATCGATTGAGCTAGCTAGTCATGAGGACTAATCAATATAACATTACGATAATGCATGTGAGCATTAATCAGAGGACTATTAGAATACAGGGTTAACATAAATATAAAATCGATCGAGAAAGTTGAAGTGGAAATAAGGATTAATAATAATAGGTTGCGTATCTTTAGTTGGGCTCACCAATGTAGAACTATGGTCTACTACGATATTAGTACTGCTCTAATAATAGACCTAATCCTAAATTTGTAGATTCGTCATGATATAACTGCCTAATCTTTAAGATCTTACGTGGAAGTCACACCATCGACTACGCCAACTCACTGTATCGTATCAATTACCAATACATGATGAAGAACCAGCTTAGTTTAGAGAAGGAACAATATATTTAATATGAATAGAGACCACGCCTGCATGGCCGAGCCATGCCACTCGATCAACTCCAGTCCATTCAATTCATTCATCGCGCCTTCTCCATTGTTGGGTATTTCCCCGAGTTAAATATTGAATATCTATTTTCTGAGTAGTCTCGTGTTCACAGCTTTGTGGATTGTGTGGCTATTGTCCAATGCCACTACAAGTGTAGTGATGCAGTTAAATAACTCTGATGAATCGTATGACTATACACTGCGTGGATTCGTGCTACCCAAAGTAAGAAACTATAAAGATTAAGGGGTCATATTAAGCAGTGATCTCAAAACCACTAGTCACTGTAAGGCTGGTGCTGCGAAAGGCTATAGTGTATTACGGTTTATTCGTAGGTTTTTTCAATATTTAGATGATGAAATGTTTAGATTTTTACACCCGATTTACGTGAGACCACATTTAAAACGTGGGAGTCGAGCAGCGAGTCCTTGTTTCAAGTATGAAGCGGATATGCTGAAAAGAGTCCAACAACGAGGTTCTAAGATGGCACAAGGTCATTCTAGCCTATCTTATGAAGACAGACTGAGACACCTCAACTTATTTCCATTATCTTACCGTAGAATACGGAGTGATCTAATACTGGCTTATCTCATACTGAACTATTACCTTGGTATTAACATATCTTATCTTTTACTTCCGTCTAGGACTGATCATTTGAGAGGACACTCGAAGAATGTTCAAAAACCGAGATGAAATCGTTTACGTCTGGATTTTCGTTTCTTTCACCGAGTAATGAATTACTGGAATTCTCTACCGGAACACGTAATATCAGCACCTTCGGTTGATACATTCAAAACGACATTGGACCCCCACAGTATTAAAAACTGCAAGGAATAATATAGACATCATATCCTTATTACTGAAGACTGAATACTAAAAGTCGGAAAATTTTATTAGATATTCAGTAACACATCGCGTACTAATTTGTCTCTTCACTTTCAAGTTTCTATGATCATTTAAGGAGAAATTCTTCACTGTCCATAACTTTGCAACGTTTCTGTACACAATACATCTAATACAATGTGTATATTGAACATTCGGCTGAAGTAAAACAAAATCTGTGTCCTTCACACAAGCGGCCATTTTCTTGGTGTTCGTTAACATGCCTTGGTAAAGAGGTTTAATGTTATTTCCCACCAATAAGTGCTCGTTTCTCCATGGCTTCTCCTGGTGAAGATGAACAGTTTACCGAAGAAAGTACAAGTTCATTTCAGTTTGGTCACAATGAAAGGTCTTCTAAAAGGTAGTTGTAAATCACATTTACGATTGTTTAGTGATGAACAAAAATGCATTTTCGAACTTGAAAGAGCAATCGAGGCTAAAACGAAGGAGAAGAATAGTCTACGTACAGTGCATGTTAAATCTTAACTTATTTTTTAGGGGAAAAGTTGCGTTCAATCCTTCGACTGTCTGAACGTTTGGATGCTTTACTACCGTTGAAATTGGAGTCTAAAGAGAGGGAACTACGTCATTTTCTGGTGAGCAAAATTATATTAGTTTGAACTTTAAGTTGTTTTTTCTCGTGATTTGCGTGAGCTTTCCTAATCAGAATGGACTGAATTAACACTGGTTAGGTTAATTTTTGATACGATATGAGGACGTGCATAGAAAAGGTTTGTATCATTAATTGGTCTTAAGCAATTAGTTTCATAGCTACCATGCCTGTTTCCGTTCGATTTATCGATATTACAAAACAGGGTGAAGAGCACCTCGAGTATTGAAATTAAATTGAAATCAAAAATTGCTATTGTCTCAAAACATTTAGGATTTTGATGAATTATGTGCTAGCTTCTGAAATGCACCAATTTCATTCACTGTTCATAGACCAACTAAACATTGATAGTCTATTTGGGCAGGGTGTATCACGACAGATGTGACTAGCTAAGCCTATTAGCTCCAATGAACATTCAGTTCTCTTCTCTTTTCCCTCATTAAGACGGCGCTTAGTGGTTTCGGTTTCTCATTGCAGTTATCCCGCATTTCAAATTACCTGGCTCAGTCGGACCTCATTATTGGAATTCGAAAGGGTATTCGAGACTATCATGACTCCAGAGGCCGACTATTCTGTAGCCGTATGGATGATTTCCTCTATTGCATTCATTACGATTTTAGAACCTCTGGACCTCTTTCTAACCTTGGCAATTTTTTGAACCACACATAAGAAGCGTATCCTCATTATTTCCTTGGTTTTGTATGACATATTTTTACTGACTGTTTGCTGATTGGCTAATATTTCTTAAGTTGACTTAAGATTCGTTCAAAGGTCGCCCATAAATTAGAGTCTCGCCAAAAACTCTTCTTATACCTAACTTAAGTAATACGATCTACTGTGCATTGTACAGCAACTGCGAATACTATATTCCTTCCTGGTACACACATAATGGAAATAAATCGTATTGATTGTTGAGAAACGTGCAAAATAACTTCTGTGCAGTTGAAAGCACGTCATCTCTTCTGGCGCGTATTCAGTACCTTCAAACAAACTTGTTAACAAACCTAGCCTCATCCTATTGTATTACTCTGTGAGTGTGTGGCATGGTCTGTGAAAATTAAGGGTATGTGTAAGCTACAATTTTTTGATCGTGTATATTCTCAGAGCGTTGTGTGTCGTGAAGCAATCGAGTGTGGGATGTTCCGGGAAGAGATAGGGCAAATCATTTTATGGAGTTGTAAATCCTCGCATCTATGGTGGCTAAATGTAAATTGCGTAGGACAAACCGCCGCCTCCCCCTAAAGACGATGTATTGTGTGAGGGTAGGTCGAAAGCAAGGTAAGGGCGGTCAAACCAAAACGTGACAACAATCCATAAAACCATGGGCTGTTGGACTGAATCATGTAGGTGCGTAAAAACGAGCTTGTTGGGGTTCACAAAATTGTAACCAGTGGTTGCAGACGTTCGGTAACATGGTTAGAATCAGTCATTGTTATGTATATGTGTACTCATTAGTCTCTTTTAGATCTTGGATTTCAGAACTACTTTATATCTTTTATTGTGCAGATTAGTTTTGAAATCATATTTTCTGTTTTCTTTTACTGTCACTGATATTTCTAATACTTTGGGATTCGTCTTATTTCATATATCTCTGGTTTGGTGTGGGGACTAGATCCAGTGCACGTATTCTCCAAACTCTACGTTGATGATAACTTACTAACTTTTGAGGCAAACTATAAAAAGATCAAACTGTTCGAAGCAGACAGTAATGTAGTTATCATCATTAAGGCTGAGCTACTAGTACAATACAGAAACTTGTCTTGCAATTCTGTAAGTGCATTTAGTTTTGGAGATACGGATTATTGTATCATGAACTTCACAGAATTCCTTATTCAGTAAACTCAATGCAGAAAAACATTCCATGTGGATTTTCGACTTGTGTACATGCATGTTGTGTTTGAAGGTATCTTATCTTGCTACTTGTTAGTTCTGGGTTCTACTAGCGCAAGATTTGTTTGGTGCTCCTTGGTATTCTGTATTTTTTTCAACTTTGTATAGGATATATTACTAGATCTTTCATTTGGCATCTGCCTCAACGGACTTGAATAAGTTATGTAGTGACCTAAGGTTGACATGCAGCGACCTACCTAAGACATCGATGACTCGTTGAACTATAAGTTCTAAAGCTCAACAGAACTCACAATAAAGACAACTTGAACTTGTTTATCTTGAAAATATGAGTTCCAGATTACAGTCACATGAATAACTGAATTATCTAAAGGGAATAACTAAACAAAAATGTTTTATCACTTCAAGAAAAATTTTCGTACGAAACGGTCATCTGGCCAAAAGTTTTGAAAAAAAATTCTTTTTACAATATTACGACAATTCTGTGTATGTGAAACGGAACGAGTTCAATGGGATCCATGTTCCTGCTAATTGATACGTCCATTAAATCTATGAGATTAACCGAATACTTGGTTTGGTTGCGTGTATCTCAGTTCGGTAATGGTATTCCTTGGAATGAGGGTCGCCTCTTATCCAACAGGTTTGTCCCTCAATATCTACTAGATTCTTTATTCAGAAGAACCTTTTGCAAGAATACCAGATAGAAAAAGGTGGGAGATACGACCACTGCTATGTTATGCAAGGACTTCAGCTACATAGTTGTTAAACCTGTTTTATCCTACTAAAGAGTATCGGAGACGTGCTGTTTGGTAATAGTTTTCTTTGAATGATCACTCATCGATGATCCCACTACCTTAGTAGTGCTGCGTTCTAAATATTTGTTTGTAGTGATGGTAAAGAACAACATACTGTTAATTTTCTCATATCAAAACACTGACTTCAGTTGCTCTGACTGTTCTGGGTGTTTCTTGATACTACAAGTTATTTCCCGATTCTCTAATTGGATGTGTATGTGGTCTGCCTATGACCCCGGTGAAGGGACGGTTATGTTGTTTTAACATTTATTTACAAATCACGGCTTCCTAGTTGAGGTTTTGGAACTCAGTCTTTACAATTCTGTATTCCTGTATATATGGTGAAGATATTGTGATGAAATAAAAATGTTTCCTGATTACTCTCCAACTCAATCTGTATATTTTGGTCGGTTGAGTTTTCGTCTTCTGTTTCATCACAACATTTTTTATTTTGCTTTTTGTGATGAATTCATTATTTTGTTGGAAAATCTTCGTGTCATAAATAAGATTAATGGGGACTTATCACACTTCGCCGTCATGACAAAAATCAGAGGAATTGAAAATAAATAGTATTGTAAGACTAAGGAATAAGACCAAACTAAGATTTCATAACTCCCTTATGACGATGTAATAAAAATCCATTCATTCGACCAAATACAACTGATTTTGAGCTATTAACTACTTGTCTTATCAGCCTGCCTGGTATTGCAACACCTCAAGTGATATGCACCAGTTTGTGTGATTAATCCATATCACTACCATAAACGAATCCAACCACCATTACGAGATATAACTTTTTACTATGGCTAGTTATCTATTCACATACTGCACTCATATTAACTATGGCTTCTCGACATCTTGGTAATATCAATGGTCTTCAGTGATATAGAGCTGTATACGTGGGACAATTAGTGTTTAAGGAGTTCGAATTTCTTACATTACATCAACTTTACTTGATCGCATTAAACTTTCTTGGCTACTCAAGTTCCTGTGTCCACTTTTAAAGAAACAGTGACTATCGTTCATATGGAAATAATTTAAAGAAATTCTTTGGATAAATTACCTTAAATTATCCTAGTGTAATACAATTCGATTTCCAATAGAGTAAATGGTTAAAAAATGACCATGTTTGTCGTTAAACTACAACCAGTTCAAACCTATTAATGTTATTGCTGAATTACTGTGTTAACTGTATAAACGTTTACATATTTTTGCTCATTGTTTTTCTTTGTACTATTTAGTACTCCAGTGAATCAAATCAGTGCTTGACTGGTTACAAAAATTTTCAATTAATATTGTATTCTGCTTATGTAGTTTTAAATCATAGTTCTTGTGAACACAGCGTATTCTGATTAAAAATTGATTATAATCTATTTCTAGACTAGATATTTTCTGTCGATTATTTCTATGAGCTTAAGTGCTAAGCTCTGAAGCCACTCACATTTCCTCAATCACAACTTCTTTTTTTGTACTGTGTTCATTCCTATTTCTAATGACTCAGAAGTTAGCTTTTGAATAATTTTGATTTCTGCATCATGCTCAACAATTGTCGCTAAATTGTTAAACGCTGACTACTTGTTAAACCTAAATTAAATAATACCATTCAACCTGATATTTTTGTTCGCTATTATTGAACATCTGTATTTGTGTATGTGTGTAATTCTTGTAAGCATTGCTTATACATTAAATAAATGAGATAAATACAAATGCAGTTTTTCTATTCTTACAGTTATTTATTAGCAACTAGGATTATTATTACTATGTGGTTTCTGAAATCGATCTTCAAGAATCGTTTGGAAAACAAAATAACCCCTTGATGGCATATTCAGTTATGACTTTTATCAGTTTCTTGTTACTATATGACTTTTTGCCATATGTTTATTGAAATTTCTAGTGCATCTCAATGCTAAATAATAATAATTTTTTACTACGTCCATATTTCTACAGATTTTACTGTGAAACATTGGTGAATAAATTTATAGCCAAATAACTCATTAACCTAATGATTTTGTTTATTAGAACTATTCTTTTTAATCCGTCTTCTGATAAGGAAAATGTCTAATATTGCAATTGTATAGCTTATTTTAAAAAAATTGTGTTCTCCATGTAGAAATGCTTTCTCTTCTTAATAAACCTTGAAATCACATAGATCTTAGTTATCCTAAAATAAAACAACTTGTCTGTCACGTAATAGATATAAAATATCTAATTTTTGACAACTGGTTAGTCAGTCATAATGCAGGGCTTGACACCGTGAGTCAGTCTAGGTTGACATACTACAGCACGAAACAAAATAAACCGCAAATTATTAGGAATAATCTCATGTGCAATAATAATAAGAAAAGCTGAACCTTGTGAATATGGCTCGAAATGATAATGAAAAGACATGCTTGGACTCGAGATCTAAAGGAATGTATGGTGCATGCGTCACTGTAACCACACGGCGGTTTCGATAATCAGGTGAAATTTTTCAGAATTTCACTGCAAATAAACTTCTGTACGTTGTCTCGTTAGCAACATCCCACTTATCCTTGGATTAACTAGCATAAAGTTTACTCTCTGAAATTTTAATTTTTCAAGAGTCCTTAATTCAATAGTTGTCATAACCTTTTGTATGCTGTATCGACTTGAACTTCCAAATAAATGACAGAAAGCATGTTTTGTTTCATTACGTTAAGTCAGTGTTAGAGTTTCTAAAAAATATTATTCTTTGGAACAAGTAAACGACAAAAGCTACTATAGTGAACCTATTATTTGCGTCAATTTCAAATGTTCGTGTATTTGTATGTGGATTTATGTGCACGCATTTATAAATCAGAAAAATTTAACTGAACCAAGATTTAATCCAGTGCACTATATATTTTGATTATAACATGTGACTAGGGTTGAACGTTATTTTAAAGGTGACTTTGCAATGACTTTCTTCGTTAGATTTCATCTTGCCTGAAGAGGTGTCAACTGGTTGGTGTGCGTCAATTTTGGCAGCCATAATTTTCAGCTAGAACACTTCATCACATCCCTAAAGATATTTGTTTTAACTGGTTGAGAGCACCAATCAGAGGATTTTCCGATAGGTCTCGACTGGCAAGCATCAAATACAGCTCATTATTTACTTGCTTTGAACTTCATTGTTGTGATCTGATGCTAATAATCTGTAAAAGGGTAAAGCTTCGTAAAATATTGAGGTTTTGAAAATTCTAATAGCTTTGCGTTTTGTAGTTGTATATCCTTTTTAACATGACATGGCCTGTGTTTGTTACTCGATAACAGGAATTTTCTTTTGATCATATAGTAATTTGTTACTTGTAAGCCACTTTAAAGACAGATTTTAAATTCCATCGTACAGTGTTTTCAAGCTAATAAAGCTAGTAGACAATGCATCAAGGTAACAATTGTCAAGATTTTAAGTTCCAGGAAACATCTCAAAGGCTATGAAAACGTTTTGCCTCCATTTTGGAGGGGATATTTTTTCATATCTGCTGGGATGGAAGTATATATCATAAACCTGTTTCGAGTGATCCATACAATATATTTCCTCATAAGTTTATGCGTTGGGAAATGGCATTGAACAGATGTATAAATAAATCAGAAGTTCTTACTACTTGGCTGCTTAAAGTACCATGTATACATTTCGTCAGGTGACTAGTACTAAAGTGTTAAATTTCAGCAATAAATTGGTTTTGGTCACATCCATATTTCTGATGTGTTGGTGATTTAACTGGATTTTCAATATAGTGAATGCCAGTAGCCAACGTAATTCTTCTGATAATTGTTTTTCTTTTCCCTTGTTTTATATCGTTTCTTAGCTCCCTTCAGTGCCTCGTTCGAATGCGTGTGACGTTGATGCTAACAAAAGCCAGACCACTTCAGGCGGCTGTACAATTAGTTCCAATGTTCGCCCCGTTCCATCCTTGGTTAGTGGGTTAACCAAGTCTGTAGATAGTTTATTGGGTCCTGCAAATGCAGTGGCCCGTGCTACTAGTTCAAAAGGCGGGGCTCTTCTACCTACTCCTTATCCTAATCCTTCTCAGGCTAGTGGTAAATCTGTTACCCATAATCGTGGTATGCTACCGTCAGGAATTCATTCACAATCCACCAAGGCTTCTGTAGACAATGGACCATATATTAAAGATGTTCCAAATTATGCAGATGTATTAATTGATTCTTCTGTTAACTTGATACTATCTCGTTTACGCCGGACACAGTGTAATTTTGATAAACTTGTTGCAGCTAATCAATCGGAACTGCAGTCATTTACTTTTACTCAAAACAGGTAGGTTTAAGCGGTGAAAAGCATGTTATTAGTTTAGGCTGATACATAAGATTTAAAACCCCTTGTCCAAAGTCTTACGAAAATTACGGTAGCGTACTTGGTTACTTACTTAGTAGTATTAAAGTGTGTAAAGCTACACAACTGCTGATATTTTGACATTCGTGCTTCACTTAATGTGTCAGCATAATGACTTGGTTAGGTTTTTCATTTAACTTACCTCTATTCATTTTGTTCCCCTTTGATCAATGGGATTTACATAGACTGTCCATCTATGTTGCTTCCGAATTTTGTTACTCGAGTTTTATTGAAATGCTTCTGTATATTAGTAATCTATTTTCGTGCGTAATCGGATGCTACTTTGCTGATACAGAAACTTTTGTTGTATCTGAATATTATGAACTTCTTAGAATTTATGGATACTTATTAGTTATTTCGTAGTTTTTTCTCTAGAAATTAGTTATTAGTTTGTGATTTGCGACATGCTAACAATTCTTTAACATCAAAATTTCTGTTGCCTTGATATCATTTGTATTGCACTTGCATTTCTTATTTATTTGAACACGTAAATATTGGTAAGAAGAGGCACTGAACACATATGCGCCACACAAGTCACTTGATTTGTGTATGGGCTGTGATACTGCCCGGGTGCCCAGACTAAAGGAGGTGGTTTTCTTAGGAGGCCACAGGTGGAGCTTTCGACCTAAATATCTGATCCACAAGGCAGTGGAGCAACATCAAGAGATCCTGTCCCATGGTAACTGGTGACCAAAAAGAGGTTAATACTGTTTCTTCCTTCACGATACTGGAGCCCATGTACACCGTTATTTTGAAATCAGGGTTTTCTATCTCCTCTAGGTGAAGCTTCCGTGTTCACCAACCCGGTTAGACCGCCGGGCATTCATTTTTCATCCTCTCAATTTCGTAAACAATACCCGGGCCGCGAGAAGGCAGTTTGTAGGACTTCTCTTGCAATGGCTGTATACGCGTGGCCATGTGAGAGCATTTCGAGAAGGAGAGCTGACTCTCCCAACCTTCGATCGTACCAGGGCATTTGGGGGCATGTACCGCAAATAATAGAATATGATGACTTCGCTTGACATTCAGTCTTTATCTTCCTCTCGATCTTGAGCTCCAGCATTACTACGTACAAAACATTCTACTCTGTCTTTTCGAACCACATACCCACTATTTAGTCATTCATTTTATCTATGGTGCCACACTATTTCCACCTTTTTTGTTATTTTTACCTCATGCTAGTCATGCATGAAAACTTGGCCTAACTAATTCACATTTGTGCCAGGCTCTTTGTCGATGATGTCTATCAAAAACCGTTTGTTTCATCTGTAGCGGTAACAAATCATTAAAAGCCTTTAGTTCATAAGTAGACTGTTAGCAAGTACCTATAATTATTCAGTGCATCTTTTTTAATTCTAATAATGAATAGTAATCCTATAGGTATTAACTTTGCAAAAATACATTTCGTCGTCTTATTCTCGCTTATTCAACTTATAGTCAAAATGGAAAAAGAATGATGATGCGTATTCGTGTTCTCGAACATGAAAATGAAGAACTAGCAAATGTCAATCGTACTGGTCGAACTGCTCGGTTAGAATCGGAAATTTCTTTACGACGTGCATTCGTAAATGACTTGAAAAATGCTCATTCAGGTAAGTGTGTATGTATATATGTGTGGGAGGGGGGAACTTAAGTTTTAGTCACGGTGTGTGACCAATAATAAAGATATGTAGACAAATTATTCCATTTACTTGTCCCAATCACAATAAATGCATTGAGTATGTAAAAAGTGCTTCATGGAACAGTACTTATGTGTATTCATCACAATAACCATTCTCGTTTTCTTGATATCATCGATAATAAGATTAACTCTCACATTGTCGCTCTTCAGTTTCAATGAAGAATCGTCCAGTTCAAAAGTATTTCATTTCACTATCACAAACTAGTGAAAAATCAGTAAATATTACTTCGTTCTCATAACTCATTAGTTCATACTCACGTACTCAATTTACGCCTCGTTTCATTGTCTACTATAGTAACCTAGTTCAGTGTTGCTTTTGCTGTAAGTAAATTGTTAAATATCGCGGAACCTTGAAAACTGCTTACTTAATGACAAATTGCTCAGTATCAAAATCATGTGTTTTTATTTTCCTATTAGTATTATCCATTTGTGAACTAACTAGCTTATCGTGATTCACCGGATAATTGCTAGTTTGACAGTGACTATGTAATTAACACACACCATATCAAAACATCTAATCTGAAAAATTGCATAATATATGTTTTCGCATTTGAAAAATGCAAGCTTTGGTTTAGCAATTTACCTGATGTTTTATTTTATATATGAATTCAGTGTAAAATTAAATTAATTTGGCCACCAATTTAATGTAGATTAGTAAGCTATCAGTTCAGTTAACAATTGCCTGTCACATATATATTCATATAATCGGCTTCCTTCCAGATTATTTGTATGAACGCCAATGGGACTATCTACTATTCAGCTTCCCAAACGAAATTAAGTGTAGCTCGGTTAAAACTCCCAACTTACGAAGTTCTAATGGTTTTATCACTAAGCTACAACTCCATAATATTCAATGTATAGGTCAAAGTTAGTGTTTTATATCGACCTAGTAAAATAAAGCGGCCTTCTTGAATATCTGGGCTACCTGTTTCTGCCATCTGATTATTTCAACAAGTTATCTGTTTTTTTCATTTGTTTTAACTTATAATTATGTCCATTAATCGCATAACCTATTCAGGCGCTTTTATGAAAAGCCTACGACCTTTCGCTGCACAAGTTACAAAAAAGTACTATAAAAGACGTCGTGGTGGTTGGCAATATGCGTTAAAGAGAATGAACATTATTCGTATGTCGATTCCCAAGCTGCTAAATTCTAACTGCCGATCACGAATCAACGAAGTGGACTATCTGCAATTCCTACTAAGTCAAAATATGTGTCGTAATTGTGGTGTCATCACAATTCAAGAATCTTGGTTAAATGATTTACAGGATGACTGCCTAGTACCTTTACGTGATTTCAAAATTTATTGTCAGGATCGATCAAACAATAAAAAGAGGTGTGGTGGCGGTGTAGCTACGTTTGTAAACACAAACTGGTGTCGATCTTCGTTTGTGTGTTTTAAGTTTTCAAATGATTGTCTAACTCTTAGATGTCGTCCAAAACATCTGAATAAATACAAATATGTTTATGTTACCAGTATCTACGTTACTCCAGATTGCACATCATCTGCACTATCTGTTTTCGCTGATGAATTCACTGAGTTCGCTATTACTGCCTTCAGTGATTCACTTTCAGTTGTACGTGATTTCAATTCATTTGACTATAGCTTCCTTGAGTCACTTGGTCACCAAAATGTAGTAGATTTTCCTACCCGTTTGGATGCTCATTTAGACTTCGTTTGCATTAATGATGTGGGTATATATGCGACTCGAAAACGTGCTCCATTGTCTAGCTCGGATCACTGTATAATTCGTGTTCTACCTAGATTATATGGAAAGCAGTCAGTCAGTCAGCTACAACGTAGGACCAGGCACATATGTGCATCGGTCCAGGTTGCCATACCTCATTAGCACAGCAAGATGAACACCGGATTCATAGGAGTGGTTAGGTCAAAGGTTGCAATAAGGATATAGTATAGGAAGAAAGAATTAGTTCGTAGAAAGAAAGATATGAAGTGATTTTAGTCTCTTAGTCTAAGGGAAGACAGGGAGTGTATACACCGACGCCATTGTGATCGATTCTGAGCCATGTCACCAAGAGTCTCCAACCATTGATTACGATAGTCACGCGGACCCCAACTAAGTAGCCTGCATCTACCAACATGGCTCAGACTAGAAGTTAGTGACTTCAGGCACTGATGCCACGTTTTGGTTTGGCCGCCCCTAACTTTCTTCCAACCATCCCCTACCCCGTTTAGCATTGCACGTCGTGGTAATCGGTGTTCAGGCATACGTAATACGTGGCCCAACCATCTCAGTCGATGAAGATTCATAACCTCATCAACTGATTTACCATCATTCCCTAATACCCTGCGTCTAACCTCACTATTACTTACCCGGTGATCCCAGCAGATGCCAGCAATATTTCTAAGGCATCTGTGGTCAAATACTAGTAGCTTACGGGTGTCTTCTACTCTTAATGGCCATGTTTCGCTGCCGTAAATTAAAACAGAACGAACTGCCGCGCAGTATACTCGTCCTTTTATTGATAGACGGATATCTCGCCTTCGCCAAAGGTGACGTAAGTTGGCAAAAGCCAAACGAGCTTTTCGAATCCGTGCTGAGATTTCGTCAGACACCAACCCATTAGGGCTGATCAGACTTCCAAGATAAGTGAAGTTGTCAACGCGTTCAACTACTTCACTCCCTATCCTTAGTTCAGGTGTTGACCCAGACCAGTCCTGAAGCAACAACTTGCATTTAGAGGGAGAGAAGCGCATTCCAAACATCCTGGCATTGTTGCTTAGTGCTACCAGAAGACTCTGCATTTTGTCAGCGTCTTCACCAAACAGGACTATGTCATCTGCGTATTCTAAGTCGATAAGTGGACCTCCTGGAAGGAGATCAATACCCGAGAATTCAGTCGACGAGAGTGTTATTTCCATCAATAGATCTATGATGAAGTTAAACAAAAATGGGGAAGGTGGACAGCCTTGACGGACACCACTTGAGGTTGCAAAAGTAGATGACAGTTCGCCATAAGCTCTGACTCGACTAGTAGTGTTCGAGTAAAGAGCCTTCACAAGGTTTATGTACTTCTGAGGTACGCCTTTCAATGACAGACACTGCCACAGAGTCTCGCGGTCTACCGAGTCAAATGCTGCTTTTAAGTCAAGAAATATCATCATCGTCGGACGCCGATAGGTATGCCTGTGTTCTAGAACCTGACGAATGGTGAATATGTGATCGATGCAGCCACGACCAGGTCTAAAGCCAGCTTGGTTCTCTCGAGTTTGTAGTTCACGAGTCTTAGTTAGGCGTTTGATAATTATCGAGGCCAGTATTTTAGATACTATGTTTGTTAAACTAATCCCTCTGTGGTTGTCACAGGATGATTTTGACCCTTTCTTATATATTGGGACGATAAGTGATTGCGACCAGTCAGATGGGATAAAGTCTAATTCCCAGATCTTAGCTAAAATATTAGTCAACTTAATCGCTAAAATTGGACCACCATCCTTAAAGACCTCTGGAGCCAATCCATCTGGACCAGCTGCCCTTCCTCGTTTCAGATTAACTATAGCCTTTTGAACTTCAGCAAGAGTCGGGGGACCTACTTCAATGTTCCATTCACACTGTCTGGGAATGGAGGGTAGTTGTAGAGTAGCTGAAGGCCAGCTGAACTGTTCCCTAAAGTGTTCCGCCCATCGTTCTAAACGCCTGGACTTGGAGCAGATGAGTGTATCGTCTTTTTCCGAAATAATCTCACTTACACTTGACTTATTAATTCCAGTTTCTTTTATTATTCTGTAAAGCTGTCTTGTGTTCCCTATAGTCGCCGCCTTTTCCAGCTCTTTTGCTTTCGATGCCCACCACTGCTCACGGTCGTTTCTTAGGCTTTTTCTTAACCTAGATCTGATTTGTTTTCGCTCTTCATCATGTTCAGAACCTGATGGGACGAGTTTGCGAGAATCCATCAGTGTGACAGACCTTGAAGAAATCCACTGGTTCCTTGCAACTATGTGGTTTAAGTCACTAATAGATGTCACTGCTGTTTCCACAGCTGATTGTATGCCCTTCCAAGCAACATCTGGGTCAGCCTCGTCTTCACAATTACCTAAGTGTGACCTCAGTTGTTCCTGGAACCTACTTTTGGTTTTCTCGTTACTCAACTCAGTTCTAACGGGTCTTTTTAATGTGGCTTTTTTGCGCCCAGTGAGGCGCAAGCAGATGCGTGCCCGTATTAGGGCATGGTCGGAGTCCAAGCAGGTACTCCAGAATGAGCGACAATCTTCTATCGAACCTCTCCAACGATGACTGATGGCAATATGGTCTATTTGAGTCCATCGTTGTTTTGGTGTAGGGGGTCGCCATGTTAGACGATGTCTCTCCTTATGCTTAAAATTTGTGTTTGCTAAAAATAAACGATTGTCTGAGCATAGCTGCAGCAGACGATCACCATTATCTGTTCGCTGTGTCGGAATACTAAAATATCCACCTAAATGCCTTTCTGTTTGGTTTTGACTGCCTATCTGAGCATTAAAATCACCTGCTACGAGTACTATGTCTGAGCGTTTAGCTTTCTGAAGAAGTTCGGACAGCTTTCTGTAAAATTCATCTTTCACATCATCTGAGCTGCAGTCAGTGGGAGCGTAGGCAGAAACGACAAAAAGGCAACGACGTGTGTCCCTATCCTTCCGAGTTCTTACGGAGCCGTTTAGCCGAACAGCACATAGACGACTGTTGACGGGGATCCACTCTAGCAGTGCTTGTTCCGCCCTCATGCTTAGTGCTATGCCTACACCTGCCAGTCCACGAGAACTTGCCATCGGGTCACCAGATACACGAAGTGTGTACCTCGTTGGCTCTCCGTTTTGCCGAGGTGAGGTCAAGTGAATGACCACACTGGAATCCTGTATGCGTGTTTCGGAGACACAGCACACGTCAATGGTAAGAGACTCTAGGGTTTTAGCCAAGGAAGCCTGCCGACCGATTTGACATAGGGTTCGTACGTTGAAGGCTCCAATGTGTAGTTTGGAGCGAGGTTTCAGTAGACCTGGGACAGTATTTTGCGCACTAGAATCGTTGGCTATGGTGACACTTGAGGTGGAAGCCGAGAGAGGAAATTTAAAGTTGAAAGTCGATGTAGGAGGAATAATAGGAATTGAAGAGGGAGGTTGATTATGAATACAGTGGTCTTGAGTGCTGTTAGAGGTATGAGGGCGGTTATCACTTCCCGGTTGCTCACACCGTGGAAGGGTTCTTCTGGAGGTACCTGAAAAGGAATTTGGATTTGAGGTGGTCTTAGTGACCTGAGAGCGTGACGGCAATGCCCAGGGAACAACTGCTTGAGGTCGGTCACACCCGACCCTTTATTGAGTAATTTTTGTGTTAGCTCCGTACTTATTGAGACCTTACCGCCGGAGACGGATATCCGTGGGATAAGGCGAGGTGTGCATTTTTAGGGTCGACCTTTTCTAACCCCACGCCTCCTTATAGGAAGGCAGCATTGCTGTCATGCTGGTTGTCTGAAGGAAACACCTTACTGCTGTCACACCTCTGTACAGTCAGCAGTACGACTTCGTCTTCGGACCTTGGGTTTGTTGCTTTTAGTCTTACCGCTCTTCAACCGACCTGTCTGACATGGTAGGACCTTGAGGAACGGTTGTTCCAGCCAGTATAGCTCGGTTGCTTCATCACGATAGGCAAGCCCGACCACCACGTCAAGGTAGCAACAACGGTCGGAAAGCATGGGAAGAGTACACTGTCACATCAAACCAAGAAAGTCAAATATAGGAATTATTCAGAAGAAAATATCCGAAATCTGAAAAACATGTTTCATACGACTAAGTGGGAATTATTTACAGATGACTCACTGGGAAACACTACTGATGTTATCACTTGTTAACTTAAATTCTGTTTTGATATTTGTTGTCCCACTGAAACCATTTTTGTAAGTTTTGATCGACTTAAATTTTCACAACTAAAACGATTAAAGGAGATAAAAGAAAGGATGTACAAGGAGAAGAACTCTGATGAGTTTCGTAAGCTAAATGGTCTGATAAACCTAGAGATTAGACGTCTCAATTCTATGTTTACTCAAAATCTCTTGTCTTGCAAAAACTCTCCAAGTATGTGGAAACTCTTTAAAGAACTTACAGGTGACAGACAGTTTAGAAGCGATAACCAGCTGAATGTTTGACTTAAATAAGTCTTTTGTACGTCAGTCATCTGATGTGATGCTCCCTCCATCCACGGGTTTAAATAATAGCTGTGTTCCTACTTTCACTGAAACTGATGTACGAAGATGTCCCCAGTCACTTAATTCATCTCGATGTTTGGGACCTGATGGTATCCCAAACATCCTTTTTATAAAGTGTGGTGACGTCCCATGTTATCCGTTCACAGCTATCTTTAACAGATCCTTCTCATCTAATCTCATACCGAAAATGTGGAGAAAGATGAAGATAATTCCTGTACCCAGGAAAGCATCTGGTGTTAAGAATGTAAAATTTAGACCTTTTGCAATAACTTCACCCTTCCTCAAAACAATGGAAAAATTATTGATACTTCCACTTCAGCCTGCGATAAAAGAGCATATTGATCCATATCAGTTTGCTTACAGACGCAAAAGAAGCACTTTAGATGCTGTTTCTGTTCTGCATCACAACATAGTGTTCAACTTAGAAAATGGTGAAAAGTATGTTCGATGTGCTTTTCTGGACTATACTTCAGCTTTTGATTCTATACCAAGACAACGTTTACTTAACAAGTTAATCAGCGTCAACACTGACAGCTCGATAACCAACTGGCTGTGTTCCTACCTCTCCGGAAGGGAACAGTACACTGTGTTTGGAGGAAAGTGTTCAGAGTCTCTACTGTCTCATGAAGGTGTACCACAAGGAGTTGTTCTTTCACCTCTTCTTTTGTCTTTTTCTGCATGATCTGCCATCTTGCACAGAAAACACTTTTGTAAAATATGCGGATGATCTCACTGTATGTATGCCTATCTCTTCCTCCTTACATTCCATAGAAATGAATGAGTTTTCGTCTCGTATCGAATGTTGGTCTGTTGATAATGGTCTCATATTTATTCCGTCTAAATGTCAAGCTTTAGCATGAGACATGAGCGGCATATAACCACCATTTTGAGATCCCATAATGCTTGTGCCATTGGAGACTCGTTGATAAACAGTGTCGAAGATTAATTATCTTGGTGTCACCTTTTCCTCTGATCTCTCTTGGTCTTCTCACGTTTTATTGTTATCAAAGAAGGTTTTCCGTCTGACCTACTACATAAAGAGATTGCATGCTCTTGGGATTACTCGTCATTTACTGTTACAATTTGTCAATTCTTGCATATTACCTATTATTTTTTAATGTTCTCCATTATTCCCTCCCGGGCTTTTGAGAAAAGACTTTGCTGTATTGCGGAGAATGCTGAAGGCAGTTAGCAAGATGTGTGGTGAATCTTTCGAGGTCATAATTAATATGGTTGTCGACAGACATCTAAAATCATGCAAACTCCCGGCAGGTGTTATTTTATCAGATTCTAACCATCCCCTTCACTCTTATCTTTCTCCTTGTATATCTTCTGGTAGAACGAGACGTAATTACATTAAAATCCATGTACGCAAGCAAAAGTATAAAAGTTTTATAATACCTTACCTTGCAAATATACTCTGTGACGAACAGGTTGTTAGAGTTAACCTAGTCAATAACCTGCATTCTTATCATGTCTTTAATTTTAAAAGTTGTACAGTTTTTCGTTTTTTTTTAAAAAACCTTTTTATTCTTTTTTGTATTTGTTACTGTATTTTGTTGTTGTTGTTGTTGTTGCGTAAGTAACTTGTTGAAATACTCTGTGCTGAGAATTCTATATTGTACCAAAATATAATATTGAATAAACCGGCCTATTCATATATATAAACTGCTGATTATTATAAGTTCAAGTGCTATTCAGTAGTGATCTGATTTTCATGGAACTAAGGTCGAAATTGTACATGTCATTTGAAAGTATAAAATAGTAATCCTTACTCATTCAGTGCTAAACAAATTTAAGTCTTATAGCTAGACGGTGTTATTTCCCAAATACTGTATGTCATTGGAATTATTGAACATTTTTCGTTATATTAGTATCTGACAGACAGATCTATGATTGGATTATTTTCAAAATACAATATAAAACCAGTAGTTTCTACTTTTGCATACGTAATCGTAGTTTTTACATTTTAATCTTGTAAATCAATGATATTCCCTGAAAGCATTCTGATTTTCGTCTATAATCTTTATGTTAGCTAACTTTCTTTAGATATCTTTTCATTGAAATTTTATCTTCATGGAGAATTCACTTTTCACTTACTTAATGGACTTTAAAATTTTAGTGTGTGGTTCCTTGTAAAGATATACAAACTAGTGGTTCACCTGCTTCTCTTCCTAAAACAAATAATTTAACACATCTGATCGTCCAAATAAATTAATATCGTAAAATAAATGATAAGAATTTCAAATCAGTTCGTAATTCATTATGTCACTCACAGTTCAACGTTTTTTTATGGCAATACAATCAGAGTTTTCTGTTCCAAATCTGTAAGCTCGACGAAAAGTTGACATGTATTTCTTTTCTAAGAACAATTGGTTTTGGACATATTTAAAGTATATTAGCTACAATCTTGTTATGCTGCTCTAAGGAAGGCGTTTCAACTTACCAAGATAACTGAAAAGTATTTTAAAGCTCTGTCCCATTTGTAACATTCGTCCTAGTTTGTTGTACCGTGGTCATGAGGAAAGGGACATCTACTGAGACTTTTTTAATATTTGTTTGCGCACTATAACTTTTTAGTTACTTCTTTCTGTTGAGGACTTATCTGACAAGACCAGCTTGATTTTTTTCATACTTTTAACTTGTAAACTCTATGTAAAGATAGTTTTTTGTTCTTACTTAATTCTTGTAAGCAATGAGTCTATTTGATACCATGTTTAACAGTTTCTTATCGCTTTTTATTCTTTTAATAATTGTTCCTTATTCGTTTGCATCTGCTAATTGAGTACTCAATAAATGCTTTATTTTTTGTTGTTGAAGATATGGAGTATTTAGTGGAGGAGGCTGAGACTGAAACTGAAATGCTTGGTAGTTCTTTAATGATGCTGCAACAAAGACTACAACTAACTCAAAGCACTGCAGAACTCTTGGCTTCCGAACTACAAAAACTGGAACCAGTGATTTGTGCTGGGATGATGAATTCCGATGGTGATACTGATGCTAAGAACGTGTTGTTACATGAGGAAACAAAGTTGGAAGACGTTACTTGTGTGTCTCCTGGACGACTACAAAATTCTCTGAACGATAGTCTATACGATGAGGAGCTTATTTTGGATCCAGGTATTGAAATTAGCCGACAGTCTTCGGAATCTCCCAAATCCTATACTGATATACCAGTCGATAGCGACGTCAATTCTCGGGTGACAGAAACTAAATATGATAAAAAGTCATGTATTTATGCCCGAGTTCTCCCCAAACCTGAAAATAATATTTCTGATGACGAAAATGTCGGTAAATCGAAACGTAGACGTGTCTCAGGTAGTTGTGGAGATTCATCAAATGAAAAATGCACAAGTCATTTAGACTCTTTATCATTTTTGCCTGCTCCATTGTCTAGGAATACAGTATCTACTTCCGCCAGTGATCGGACTAAATCGCGTCCTGTAATCCCTGTACGCGGTCCACAACGGACGTTTCATTCAAACCGTGAGCATACTGCTCAAGTTACTCAAATAAAATCCATTTCATCAACAACAGCATCACCATTAGATGAATCTATTTCTAGTAAACTTTTAAAACTTTCTAAATTTAATAGTCAGTTAACTGTTGATTCCTCCATGAAATCCCCATGTATAAAGTCTTTCACATCTAATCATCCTAATGTTATTGATGGCTCGTCTTCATGAAATCCCTTTCCTATCCATTTATTTGTTCAAAATCTCTTACCTGTCTCTTTCTTTTGCGTGTTGGATGTTATTTTTATCGTGTTTGTTTCTTCCTATATGGAGTAGTTTGTGTGTGTGTGTATTCAAATAAAAATTATTCTTGATTGTTTGATTTGCTGATGATGCTTGTCTTGATTTCCGATAGGTGGCTCGCTTGTGTTTGTTCCTAATTTGTTGGGCTTTTGTTTCTTTCTTCACGCTCATAGATAATTGTATTCTCGTTCAATCTCTTTTTTTATAAACGAACTACTGTTTCTTAAATGATAAATCGAATAACACTGATAATCAATTAAACCCCACTTGTGTTTCCCTTCTGCGTTTGCACTCTATATATACATATATAAAAGAAATTGAATGTACTTAATATATGCTCCTGTCAATTTTTAAGTAGTGCGCGTATTAATAATTAAAAAAAATAATTATCTTTACAAAATAAACTAGCTATACATTATTTTGAACTAAAAGAAAGACTAGTTAAGTTTTCTCATTCTTTGCTATGATTAGTCTCAAGGTGTTATCAATCCTTTTGATTTAGATACTCAATACATTGAATATTATGTCGGTTTGATTTCATATAGGTGACATTATTGTTGATATTATTCATTATTATTATTATTGCTATATATAATGATGATGATGATCGTGATGTGAATGAAGTTAGCGATCAGTTGCATTTATTATCTATCAAAAGAATCACTTGAACATGTATACATATATCTTTCTGTCTGTATTCAGATAGACAAGGTATCTAATCTAATGAGAAAACAGTGAGAATTTTACTATTCACATATTATTAATGTATATATTTGTCAAAACAATATACATTTTAAAAATGCATAATAATATCACGAATTATTAACACAGATATTGATATGTGCAAATCTAAGTCATCTCATTTATTCATTACCAACAGCAGTGCTTTCACCCTCGTACACATGAATAGTGTGGCGTTTATGTATCGAAGCAAGTTACTGTTCATGTGTATTGCAATTTTATCGTTTCAGGTATTCCTTTTTTTTCTAAACTGCCAATTATATGAGTATCTTTTTTACTCTATTTTTCTAATTTGGATATTTTTAGATTTAATTTTGAAAAATTATTTTTATACATAAACCTACTTCATTATTTCTGTTAACGTTCTTTATTGTTGGAAAGTTCTCTTTCTCAGATTTCATACTACCTACAGACCTCTGTGTGTGTGTGTGAACTGACCGGAAGAAACTTTCAGTTTGTGATAGGAAGCAATTAACACTGTATAAAAAATTATATGGTGATAACATTATCAACGCTAAAACTTAGAATGATAATCAGTTCTGTTATTAGAAAAATTTAAGTTTAAGATGATCAAAGTTGTCAAATTTTCGAAGTAACAGTCACAATTATTCAGAAAAGCACCGAATTTCATACGAAAAGGCTATCAGTGCAGTACATTCGTAATTAATGCTCAATTCATATAGTGTATATACAACCGATTGATTGACATTAAGTTCACATACCGTAACGGAATTGAATCCGTTTGTTTTTCTGCTGTTTGGATTTACTTTTATTCTGGTTGCCACGGCTTCCAATATACCGTTTACTTCTGAACCTGTCATGCTCTTATTTCAGCTGTGCATTATGTTATTCATCATTAGGATATGATTAGATCGTAGAGATCATTCTACTTGCCTTTTAAGAAGTTATGGTAATGCTTTGTATAAAGCTTTTGTTTACTTCAAAATTGGAAGTCACCTAAGGAATGACTATCTTGAAAAATATATTAAAAAGAAATAACCTTGAGTCACATCAGGATCGCCGACATTTCAATAATATAATTGTGAAACACAATCGACTGTGAGCAAATTACTTTTATTAGTGCCAATTTCGTTTGATATCCACGTAACTATCATTATCACTTTGTGTTATACATTCGAATGGATCATTCGTCTTAAATATTTGTTTTTTTTCATGGTATTCGTATTTCACACTATTAGAGAATCTTATCAAAAAAGAAAAAGTATGGAAATTACCAATGCTTGCGTCGAAATCTTTTTAAGACTGGAAAGTTTCATTTAATGAAGAAAAAACAATAAGAGTCATCATGTTCAGATGAAATTATTTAAGTATAAGTGTGAATTCCTTGGCCTCTATCAAAAAATCAAGATTGTTACAATGTAGTGAATTCAAAGCTTTGTGCGTAAACAGATTTGACTCATACAATTATCTTTATGTAATTAATCTTCGTTTCTAGATGAAATGAAGCTACATACTGCATTCTTTTATTTTAGATAATATTAAAGTTTTAATCCATATTTACAAAATATCACGTATTATTGGTACGTGGAAGATAATCGTTTCGGAATATTTTTAGAAAAATATCTCCACAAACTCTGAAGTGTGTTTGATAACTTGTAGTAATTACTCATATAATAATCTTTAACTGGATGCTAACCAATTACGAAATTATTATATTAGAAAGTCTTTCCTGCAGTCATTTTGTTTCTTATAACTCAAATCATGTGATCATTACTTATTTGAGTAGATAGAAGTAATCAACTGCTTTTGTTGTTTGTTATTGGTCACTGTGAGGTATTCGTTCTAATGAGTAGTAATATACAATTAACTGGGAATACATGATTAAAATATATGTTAATAAATTATGATGTGAGTAGAGAAATTAATGAATAGCTTATTTGCAGAAACACCGAATGAACTGTCGTCTTGTTACAGTATGATATTGTAGTCTAGATTGCTTATCTCTGTTTTTACTGCGTAGTTTCATTGTTTATAGTATTTTGATATTTTAAGCTTTTATTTAGTATATCGATAGTCGATGAGTTTTTACTGTTTTGTAACTATCGTTAAATTGTCAACTAAATTATCGCTCTATTTTGTATCACTCAGGATTTAGTTGTGTATAAATTGTGATTTCTCTCGTGGAATTTTGCCATGTTCTCAAGTTTGACTCAGTATTAAAATGTTGGTTTGGTGTGTTCGTCTTCTGACTGGCTATTAGGTATAAAATTTCGCGGTCCTTGCTTATCGTCAGTTGTTTGGTTAGATAGATGTAAGGTAGATTCGTAGCCAATGAACTCTTTGCTTTATGATTTGATTATGTCAACATGTAGAGGACTGAAGGTCGCCACAGTATTGCTTCATAAGGAAGTTGAAGCCTACCATTTACATTGAATGTTCTTTTTAGTCAATACAGAATGACATCAAATTCTCCGTCAGCCTATTCATTTTCGATAGAATTTGGTGCGAGAACACTTCATTAGTCGGCTGACTGTAGGGATATTATGGGAACCCGAAAAACATATTTGATCGCCTGTACTTTTTATGGGAAATTGTTTGGATTCTAAGTATCCACTGTTTGGATGTTATTTAATTGGTGCGAATATGAAATTGTTTTGGTAAATGCATTTTAAATGAGCATTCTAATCATAGGACAGCTTTGTATCTTTATCAGTTATAACAAATAATTTTCGCTGTTGGTAATTTGCCAAATTTCAGTATTTTCATCCTATATCTTAATTAGTGTATGTGCTTCATGGACAAATTACGAAAGTTGATAGTCTTCTGTAATGTAAACATTTGCCTTACTGTATTTTTATTCCTAGCAGCCACTGAAAAGTTGTGTAAAAAACACTAGTTTTTGAGTTCATCATTACTAATGCCATGTCATATTGTTTTGAAATAGATGGATCAGTCTATTGTACATATACGTATTTGAGTTTATTGTTCATACACATCTGTCCAGTAGACTACAACTCTTTTATTTGCGATATGCGGTCAGAAGTTTTTAAATAATATCCACTTCAGAGACAATGATATTTTAGACCAATAATTATGCGATCGGAAGTGATGGTACCTTTAAAAATTTATTAGCATGCAAAGATACGACACTGCAATCAAATATTTTACAATCCTACATGTAATTACATGGATGGATTTATATTAGGGCAGATTTATCAGTAGCTAAACGAGTGTGGTCCGAGGTGCGATATTTATTAACATATAATCGGAACATGTTTTCCTATCGTGTATCCATTATCTAAAATTATGTACAAAAAGAAATTTGATGAGTTAAATATCTTTTAGAGCTGAAATTCATTGTTTTTTGTAATGTGCATAATAACTAGGAATGCCTCGCAGAATTTAGTTTCTTCAGAAACTTTTCCTTAATTTATATAACACCACCAATCTTTTATTATCGTTCGATTGGTTACTATCATTTTTGTGGTTCAAGAATCATGGTTGTTGCCAATATAAAATTGTATTACAATATTAACTGTTTGGAACATATAAGATTCCTCTCGAATTCTTACCTTCTCTCAGTCGTTTAAGGAGATTACTCTTGTGAAGATAAGTCGACGAGCTCTCTAGAACATGTCGCTTCCGTTCATATTAAATATCTTTAGATGCTTCATAATTTGAAATAATCGTAAGCTTATAGATTACAAAATAGAACATCTACAAAGCTGTACAATTTAGAAATCAAGTGTGTGTGAAATAACAATCATTGGGCAATATATATTATTATTATTATTACACGTTATGACATGATTATCAAAGAATATAAAGACAAGAAAATCGCATCTCTTTCTGCAAAACAAAAAAAAGATTCTGTTATAACTGTCAAAGTTGAATCATTTCTTTGTATTCAAATAGAAATATTTGAGATTAATCATTTTAATTTTACACTGATACTTCATTTTCGCATAGTTCTGCTACTTAAATAATTTTCTTCCCAATGAAAAATAATCTTGACTTATATGATTTTCTTGGAGTCGATAATAAGAAACAATCAGTGCATGGTGTGTTTGTTCATGTCGAATCAACTATAAAATAATGATCATTATGCAACAACATTGTCTTTTTTATTAATAAAGAAGAGAGAGAAATAAGTCATAGCAAATACAACTAGCATTAATTTGTAAAATACAAATACGGAAGTTGAATTAAGGGTTTTTTCCTCTGTTCTTCATTTGCAACTGATGATATTCAAGGTTTTCATCATTTGTCGAACCTGTTCATATACCTGTGAAAAAGAAACATTCTGTAAAGACGTTCTATATTCGTAACAATATTTGTTGAAATACAAAGAAACATTATATTCTATATTATTGAAAAAACATGTTCGGCGATAAACAAAACCGGTCGCTTAGTTTTTCTACCCCTTATGGTGTAGTTATGTGTATAAGAGCTGCTAGAACATCTGGGCTACCTGTTCTTGACATCTAAATATTTCAAAAAGTTATGTTTTTGTGCGTTTATGAAAAGTTCACAACTTTTCGCTGTGCAGGTTACAAAAAAACCCAATCAGAGACATCGTGGTTGCTGGCAATATGCAACGAAAATAATGTACAATATTCAGATGTCGATTCCTGAACTGCTAGCATCTAATTGGTGATCACTCAGTATTTATCGTCAGGGTTGATCAAGAATTACTTTGTGCTGAGAATACTGTTGCACCAATAATATAATAACTATTATTAATAATATCCATCAAACGTTCCGTATATAGAAAGCTAACAAGGACAGGACAATATCTTAGTTTCCAGTTTAATCCAATATAAAGGTGGTTTAATAAGGGGCTTATTCTAATCCATTATCCAGCGTGCATACAATCACTGCCAGTGAAGTCCTACTCACTACCATCTCGCGGTAGAGGACAAAAAGCGGATGTCCGGCGCTTTATCCGGGTCGGTGGATACGTAGAGTCCATCTAGGGGAGTTGGGAAACCCTGATTCTAAACCAATGGTCCTCATGGGCCCCAGTATCCTGAAGGAACAAATGGCGTATGAACCCATTGTTGGTCACCGGCTACCATGGGACTGCATCTCCTAAAGTTGCTCTACTACCTTGTGGATCAGATCTTTAGGCCGGAGGCTCCGTGTGTGGCCTCTTAAGATAACCACCTGCTTTAGTTTGGGCACCCGGGCAGTATCGCAACTCACACACAATTGAATGATTTATGTGGCGCATATCTATTCGGTGCCTTCTTGTACCAATGTTTGTGTTTAAATAAATAAAATATCCAGCATGGTTTTCACATTGTGTACTCTATTATTATCTTTGGCCACGCTTACCTTTTAATATTTCATTTACGAAATAAGTATTACTTAAGGTACAGAATTACCATCCGGATTCTGATTGATTAATCTTGTCGAATGTTATCAATTTAACCATAATCGTAACACGATTCATTTGATTAAATAACTGAAGCGTATTTCACTCTCAATTTATGAATAAAACATGCTGACGTGTTTATTCCAACTATTTTTTATACCAATAATAATAGTTGAGTTGATTAGAGTTTCTCAAAGAGATTTAGGTTTTAAGCTTGATTAAAATCATAAAATTATTTAAATAAATCTTGGTAATCGAATGCTCGAAGTACACGATGTTATACGGAAATCTTTCCGCTTCTGCATTATTAGTAAATTTCACCAGTTAATTATGGGTGGACAGGAAATTCCAGTTAATCGTGATCAACACAGATCTTGATATAAATGTATTAGGTCAACTCACTGTACCACATCAGCACAAAAAAAGTTAACAGGACGAATAATAAACAAGTAGCAGTATCAATAACAGTGAGAATGATTAAACATTATAGAATGCAGTTCGAAAAGAAGGAATGGATTTGAAGAATTAAAAGATTTTAAGTAATAAAGAAGCTTAATATTTAGGAGGGGTAAAGTGTGGATAGGTTCGAGGCATTTTAGCCGATTTTGAATCATGTTGCCTAATATCTACAGCCACTGAGTGTGCCTAACCAGGTAGTCTACACCAGCAAACACTACCCAGAATAACAGTTGATGATCATTCTTATGGAATGATACTATATCTCCGTTTGATTATACCTAGTTCTATTCCAGACAATATTGCCCATCGAGGCAGGGATTTTTGGTTACATGTTTCAATCACCTCAACCGATAAAGACACGAACTCGTCGATCGATTTACCTAACATTTGTACACTAAAGCTCAGTTACGTTATCAATTTTCCGTCATAGCAGAGGTCTACAAAGTACACTCACTGAATATTTAGACTTCACAACTAAATACATTACTACAATTCGTGGATTGGTTGGTGTTAGACATTAACAACATTGGATGCCAGCTCAGTGGTCCAGTAGGTTAAGTGTTCGCGCGCGAGACTGAAAGCCCTGAGTTCGAATCCCGCGAGCGGGATCGTGGGTGCGCACTGCTGAGGAGTCCCACAACAGGACGAAACGGCCGTCCAGTGCTTCCAGGTTTTCAAAAGTGGTCTAACATCAATCGATTCATGATCTCAATCAAAAATTTAACAATCTCCACAACCCCTAAACTTATAATTTATATAATCGAATAATTATTTTTTTGTGATATCCCAATGAGTATAAAATTGTATACCTTATGTTTCGTGACTTGATTAATTGTGACATCTCAGTCCTACAGGGGGTTGGTCGCAGCCCGGATAGCTCAGTGGTAACGTCTCTGACTGTGAAGCTGGGTGACACGTGATCGAATCCATCAGGTGAACCGGTTCCCTCAAGATTACAGGTTCATCTTGCTGACGAGTGCCAAGTAGCATGAAACCCTGGGTCCAGGGTTTCCTGTCGACTACCTCCAACCATCTAGTCTCAACATAGCGCATGAAGTGTCGAGCCAACTAGACTGATGGCCACATTGCAACTTAGTCGATAGCATTCGATCTGCACTAAGAAGGAATTGACACACATGACACTGATCACCACCCCGTGATCAATCAATTGTGACCATAATAGGTCTGAACATGTCAATTTCACGTTAGTTGTGGTCAAGGTCATTTTGTATGAGACAACTATGATTATTTGTATGTGTGATGGTGGGTATAAAAAAAATGTAATTTGTTATATGAAGTAGTGTCGTTGGAATTGTATGTGTGTAGTTTGTACGGAAAATAAATAAGGTCGAATGTAGTTTTTTGGATAATCTATCCAGGTTGGATGAATACTCGGGCCATTATGGTAGAGGGATGCACTATTATATGAAACGGTCCGGCCAGTTACCTCTGTTCACTTACCATAAGAAATATTCTGAGAATGGGATCTGTCGGTAAATTTGACAATTACAATGAGATTAACAGACTAGAATACTAAACTTCCGAAATTTGTCTCCCATCAAATCATTGCGTGTAGTCGACCATATAATAAACTTGGCGCTAATCTCGGAGAATATGTGATTTGACTCGGTTTAGAATACTCGAAGTAACAGAATATTTGGGCTTCAATATGTACAACAAAATAATATGATTGAACGCTTACTATAACTACACATTCACTAATTTGTTAACACAAAATAGTCAGAAAATCGTATGATAAAATATTACCTCAGGTATAGACTTATTTGCATTAATTCTGGTCACCAAATTTTGTGCTTCATAGAATTGAATAATTGGCATACATTGTTCTTTGAATTGTTTTATACTGGAATGTTCATCAATCATTGGAATAAAAAAACAAATTAAGTTATAATTTATTAACATCCATGAAACGACTAGTAAGGAATGAAAAAGTCGTTTAGTTGAAAGAAACTATGGTTCAAGGGTAAATCATACTATACTGGATTGAGACGGCCTCAAGGTGTTTCCCACAAGCAATCAGCATTTGCAGCAATTTTGTCTTACTACAACGGAAAGAGGTTAGGAAACTAAGCCTTGAAAATGGCGCACACTTTGCCCTATGGATTCTCGTCGCCAATGATAAGGGTTAATGAATTATTCAGTTAACACAAATCATGAACAACTCACAAAACGGTTGTATGTAAAGGGACTTAGGCAGTTTTTCCTTGAGTCACTTCCAGTAAGTTTTACAGTCGGCTACCTGAAACCACGTAACATCATAACAGAATATGCCTATCATGAGAGAATTACCGATGCTTTAATGTTTCTTCATTATCGTCCACTCGATTTGACTTTCGTCCAAGGCAACGTTGGATACATACCTGAAGAAACAAATTAGTTAATTAAATATTACATTTTGCATATATATATATATATATATATATATATATATATATATATATATATATATATATAAAACTAGTTTCACTCATGTAATAATAGTCAAAATTCTAAAAAATACTAGATTATTGGTGCCTTCTGAATTTCGCAAATCAAGTTAATCATAATTGTATCATTTTGAATTGGGTGATATAGGAATAGGTTGGAAAAGTGTTGTAAATGTTCAAGCAAAGACAATGCAACAGACTAAGAAGTTATTAATAATTTAACTAAACCAAGTAGGTAATTATGAAATATCACTTAGGGATTCCTAGATAATTGTAATCTGTGCTTAGAAACGTTGAGTAACATGATCCGAAATCGATCTATTTGGGTTATTCCTTACCTTTATTTTTGGCTAAAGAGCTTTGCTTCAATTCATACTTTTCATTCCCCAGTTTCATTGGCCAATTATACTTTTAATATTTAACAATCAACTAAGGTAGATGATTTACATCTACTACTCATCTTGACAGATTCCTTGATCGCTATGATAGACAGTACATTTCTCATCTTTTATCGTCAAATACTTTTTACTCAGGTTCAAAAGGAATGAAATTCCCCACTTTATCTTAACATGTGAATATTCAAAATTCTGATTTGAATCGGAGCAGGTAGTAAGACGAAATTCGTTATTTATTCTCTGAAGAAATCGCTCACATTGAGTTACGAAACGCCATAAAATCTAATTTTTTCACTCATTGGGATATTACAATTTTTATTTTTATTTAAAATCACTGGATGTTGACTGAGTCGTCTATAGGTTAGGTGCCACCGAGATAACTAAAGGTCCTGAGCTCGTGAGTACGCTCTGTCGAGGGGTTACACAATAGGAGAAAGTAACTGTTGAACGCCTCCTCATTTTTAGTGGTTATCCAACTGAAATCAATCTATGAAATTCAACAATCTCTACAAAACCCTACAGTAACTATAATAGTTAGTTTGATTTATGATAAAGTAATAAATCTAAACTTACATCGTCTGGACAATCTAAAACAATGACATTTTTTAATATCGTATGAGGGCCCAAATCTTTTTCCCAACACAAACGATTTTCATCATTACGTGGAAAACCATCCACAAGAAAATTTGTACAATTAGCATTTTCAGAATTTTTTCGCATTGCCTATAAATAGAAATATTAAATTGTGTATCCAAAAAAAATAATAAAATAACGAATATCACCTTCAAATTAAACTAACCTCCACTGATTAATGGTTCAGTGATTAAGACATTCAACAATGAGTTCCTAAGTTGGACGTTTGAACCCCGGTCCAACTCATTCCGTTTTAAAAGCAAGTAAGTAGTATCGTTAGCCTTTACATTTAGAGTGTGGTTCTAGGTCCAGTACACAAGTCTGTACGTGGATGATGAGTCAGTAAATAAATTTTGTACAAATCAACAACTACACTAACCTCACACAACAAAACAAAACTTATGATTAAAAACACAACGTATCAACTCATGATTAAACCAAACAATCTGATTTTTTACCAATATACAAACATTTAACGAATGCAACAATCACTTGTACACGACATTATAAACACAAATGGATGGTGACTAAAAGTAGAATTCAGGATTCATGTTTTAGACATAAACAACATGGTTCAAGAAAAAATAAATTCGCAGACTGAAAACTATAAGATAATTCCAAACTCAAGATCTAAGGAATTACAAAGAATCGATTTATCTGAACCGCTTCTTGAACTATGTTACTCAACACCTCTAAAAATTGCTTACAATAATTCAGATGATCACAACCAAGTAGTCTGAATCTATCAACAAAGTTCAATTCAACAGTCACACGTTTTGGTTTGACCGCGATTAACTCTACAAAATATATCAGGCGAAAAATCCATATTCGACAATCTATTTTTTGGAACCGGAGCATTATAAGAAAAGTAAATGGTATATATAATTAATTTGATCTTACTATGTAAAATATCTACACATACTAATTAAATTGTCAGTCTAAAATAATCAAAATGTACACGAAGTAACCACCAAAAATAAAACTTGAACCAACTTGATATAATAAGCCACAGGTAATTTCAGCCGGTACGATTGTCCCATTTTTCATGTGTTCTTGTATTTCACTAGCAAATTCAGAACCTGGTGAATCGCGAGCTTGTCGAAGTAATTCACCAGCAGATAAATGTACAAATCCATATTCCTGATAAAAGGTAGATAGAAAACCGATTTTAAAAAAGTAGTATGGAAGCAAAATATTACAAAATCATACTATTTGTAAATAAAAAATCCAAATAAAAGGCCAACCATCAATACCAAATCTCCGTTTAGATGATAAAAAATTAACTAATGATCTGAGTGACATACATATAGATATGTTGAGTTCCTAGTTAGGATCTAAACGATTATCTTAGTCGAAGGTTGGTAATCGTAAATGATATGAATATAGTAAATCGATTGATGAGGTAGTGGATCTTTATCTACCGAGATGATTAGGATATGTAATACGTATCCCCACCCACAGACTAATTCGACAAGCAGTGTCTGCTAACGCAGTAAGTTGGGAGAAAGTTAGGTGTGGCCAAACCAAAACGTGGTATCAATTCATGGAGACATTGGCTAGTAGACTGGGCCATGTAATTATGTAGGTTGTAGTCAGCGCCGTACAAAAAGTAAATTCAAACAAACTAGGTTTACTGACCTTCACAATTTGCTGGCATACTGTACCTTTCCCAGCACCCGGTCCACCCAAAACAAAACAAATATTAAACTTCATATCCCGCCAACTGATTTTATTTGATTTAATGAAAACTGATCTTGCAACACAGAGTGACCAGATGATTCTAAAACAAAATTAAACCAAATTCCAAGAAAATAAACATTGTACTTCCTAAGATTATTGTATCGTTGAGAACATTGATATTTGGACACGACATGTTGCATAAGTTTATACATATCCATGCACTTCTTTTTTGCAACTTTCCCAATAAAAAATAGAACCTTTAATATTTAAATGGGGCGGGATGTATATAAATATGTTGATAACGAAAAACACTACTGAAAATACCTCACAATTGCCTACATAAATATACTCGTGATAACTGATAACTAAATATGTGGTGGTCGCAATTGCGAAAAGTTTCTTTCACAATTAGATCAGAGCATAATCATAAAGCAGAATCAGAGAAAGCGAAGCTACATGATACTATTTCTTCAAAAGTTGTAGCAGGAAGATGTTTTTCAAGCAATTAAGTTCATGACGGTACTAATGAACTTTGGCTGATAAGCACAGATAACCGTTAGATGATTGGAAGACTAATAATTATGCGTGTAAGTGTACTCGATTTGTCCCAGGACTTAATATTTAACCTGTCCACCATGATTTTAAGCTATGATGAAGAAAATGAACATTAGACTTAAGTACAGAGATTTTGTATACAACACTTAAATTAATTGAGAAAACAACATTGAACACTAAAAAAAGATATAAACTTACAGTTACTAATATGACATGAACACAAGTCCATAAGAACCTGAAATCTAAGTTGCCCTACTATATGAGATTTAACTTGTTTATTAATGTATGACTTAGGTTTATGAGAGTTGAGTGATCCAGACACCCAAAATATCATAATTTATATGTATGATGAAAATTCATCAGAAAACCCATAAAACTGAAAATTTCTGGAAGGAAATGATAAAAGAATTCTAATCTGGATGGACCCAGATTTTACGAACCAGGTGGTTTAAATGATGGATTTATTGCCTGTTTACATACTATGAACACAAACTTATGAAATCTGAAAGCGCAATATTATTATGACCAACTTGAAGGAGTCGGAAAAACCTAACCCCGAAACTAGTACAACTTAATTTACAAAGATTACTATCCAAAACGTTTGGCGGAGTAATACTTCGAGGGTATATACTAAATAATTAGGATCAGCGAGAGATGATAATACTATTCCTCAATTACATAGACTCCTTAAGATGATTCTACGGTTGAAGGAGTAAATAAAGCTACTGTCAGTTAGTGCATGGAAGCAGAATAAAACTGGCATTTGTGTGACATCGAAGTTGTCATTGGGAGAAAGGATAATTGAATGGCTGTGGCTGGACCAGCAACCAGGGACTGGATGATCGATCTCACGTACTTTGAGTAAAGGGTTGTATTACAACCAATTCAACACTTCAGACCAAACAATTTTACTGGTTCTGACGGTATAAACTCTTAAACAAAAGGATTTCTAGGTGATATGACCCCACACCGCTGACATCGCTACTCAAAATGTAACTAGGCCAGTTTAGACTGGGACTAATCTTACTAGTTTAGTCATTAAACTGATGGAGATGATTTATCCTGCTGTTTAGCACTGTATGAAGGGGGCGAATTTTCGCCAGGGAAAAACATTTTCATTTTAGTAGATTGTATATTCATAACTAACCTTAGTGGAAAAGAAGATTAGGCCCAACCTAAAGATAAAAATACTGAGGTAAGCGTATTAACTACTGATCTCAATAACGGTTTATCATACGGGACTTAGGTAGAAGAAAGTTAAACAAACAATTATACAGTCGAAGAATGGGTTAGACTTCGTGACAGGAGTTAAGGACTGAGAGCGAGTGACACTTCATCCTCATGTGATCAATAGATGAAAATTCTGGGCCCGCTCCTTATTTTCATTTATGTATATGATCTACGTTGAGTGGTATAGCCATGTATCCCGCTGTTTGAAGACGAACTTAAGGTATGGAGAAATACACACAATATAAATTTAGAGGTAAGATTGCGGGAAGATTAAAATTTAATGATTGACTAGAATCGATAGCCGTAGGTAGACTCTAGAAAACGTGTGGCAATTCACATTTCTACGCATAGCATGGAACAGTTATCAACTATAAGTAGTCATAGTAAGTAATCACCTCAGAACTACGATCAGTAGACATATGTTCAACACTCGGTGATGCATTTTGAGACGACTACATTGACCTTCTAAATATTAAATGGTAATAAAAGCAAAAGATAGAAGTCATGAACGACAAGAGTCGGACTTTAAATTCCACACCTCACATACCTAGTTCAGATTACTAGAATCGTCGTGTCATCCTTCTGTTCGAATATTCGAGACCCGAGACTAAGAGTTACGGAACGAAATTTATGAACTCTTACTCCTAACTTTTGATCCTAATCCTAATTTCCCACACTAATCTATGGTACTATTTTGACAACAATAAGTCAGTGAGTTATGAATGTCAATCTGGATTCTCTATAAGGTACACTAATAATATCATAGTGACAACTTTAAGCGAATTTAAGAGTTACTTAGGGATTAAATAATCAGAAACCAGCAACCGGAATGCAACTTTTTAGTAAGCGCTCTAAAATATAGATAAATGAGATTAGAGGTGATTAGGACTTTGAAAAACATCAAGAAACTTATAAAAGCTAAATACCAGTTATTTAGGATGGAAATTATCGCTGTTTTCAGGATAGATCTTACCAATTAGTCCAACATCTTTTAATGACTAGCCACTAACCCTCAAACTCTCAAATGGTTCAAATGGTTGTGGACGGAATAGAAGAAACTTTCGCTTAACAGGCTTCCGTGTCTAGTAGCTGACTCTCGATAGAAACACTCCTAACTCAAGTATACTAACCCCAGTATTTCAGTACATAAAGAAACCACCATTCAATCTTTTCGACATATGAAATATAAGGAAAACCATTAGACGGCGACAATTGCCGCTCCAGCTAAAGCTATACAAAACAGCGCTCTAAATCAGTGCATTGACCTGTTTAATTTTGATAAAGCACTAAAGTCCGATGTTATAATGTAAGTAAACCGAGAGTCTTCAAGAGGTCTTACGTGAAAAAGCAAGAACAGTAAGCAAACAAGCTAAACCAACACCACCTGGTGACCTTGAGTGACGACCAAGTATCCAAACCCCTTAAATATTGTGCTCAAAATATGCCAAAACTTTATTGTTTTGATCGTTTATTACATATCAAGACTACTGTTTTCACTTTAATCGAATTTATTTCAGTTGAAGCATTCGACCAAAGTATCTTTTACTGTTTCTCAATTAGTATATGAACGGTACTCTTGAGTACCTTATTTTCTACTGTATCTGTTAGTACTTTTGGTCCTAGCAATCTACAATTCTCCACTTTTTTGGTCATAGATCATTTTTTGTCTCTGAGCATTATTGCATCTCGCTCTTTTCTTAAAAAACCCCTTTTTAATGACCGAACAGTGCAAACAAAGCAGTTGCCGACTTCCGGGTTGTTGTTAACCCGTTGAAAGCGGCATGCAGTGCGATGAGTGAAAAGGCTGGTACTGTAGTGGCATTGGACAATAATCACACAATCCTCAAAGCTGAATACGAGATTACTCGGAAAATAGATATTGATTGTTTAACGCAGAGAAACACCTAACGATGGAGAAGACGAACAATGAATTAAATGGACTGGAGTTGATCGGATGGCATAGCTCGTCCATGCAGGCGTGGTCCATTTGAATGTTACCTTATACCTTCTATTCATATTAAATATATTGTTCCTTCTCTAGCCTAACCTTGTTCTACATCATGTATTGGTAATTGATACGATACAGTGAGTTCGTGTAATCGATAGATGTGACTTCCACGTAAGATCTTATAGATTAGGCAGTTATATCATGAAAAATCTACAATTTTAGGATTAGGTCTATTATTAGAGCAGTACCAATATCATAGTAGACCATAATTCTACAGTACCACGAAGTTTGCACGAATTTAACGCCTGCAGCTTTCAAGAGGTTCAGTAAAAAGGGTTGCTTATGGCTTTGTCAACAGTGCTGTTCGGATGCAAACAGCTTGTTATCCGAGGCCATCTCACTGCTGGATGCTGCGAAAAAGTGTTTTAGCAAGCGTAGTCAGGACATATCAAACAGCACTCGCTCTGTCGACACTCAAATTCATATGAAGCAAACTCAGGTGAGTTGGAAAATAGGTGACTCACACAGATCAAAGAAGAAAAAACATAGTCTCCAAAGCGGTCCGTCCTAAACAAAAACTCAAGGAAAGAAGGTTCTTCTGTTCCCCATCTTCCAAATGGCATCCAGCAGGAAACGCCTTGAGGCCGCAATCGCAAGGCTCGATCGGTTCTTAGCGGGAAACATAACCTGACCTCCCAGGTCGTCGACGACCCTCCAGAAACAACAGTAGGTTTGACGCAACCGTTGTTGCTTCTCCTGGCGCCGTTGACGAATGGGTACAGGTTGTAAGGAAGAAACAACGTAATGATATAAAAAGGAATCCTGCCACCGTAAAGGTAGTCGAAATATCGAAAGCTAACAGATCAGTTACTTTTCATAGAATCAAGAAGAGCGAGAGCTCTGAATCAAAAGCTCGTTTTGAACATGACATTGTACTGATTAAACAGCTGCTTAATCGAATCATGCTAAAAGTGTACAGACTAGGGAGTCTAGAGAACTTCAAAGTAAATCAATCCAGACTGCTTGAAATAGTAATCGAATTTTCGAACGAACGCAACCTAGTTTTACAGAATGGACATAAATTAAAGGGTTGAGAAGTTTTTATCCATTAGGACTCACCATTGGCAGGCTATGTAAAAAGATGGGAAGCCGAAAAAGAACTACAACTTAGGTTAGACGCCGGCGAAAAGAACCTGAAAATTGTAAATTTTCGGCTTGTAAGGCTTCGACAGAGTATGATGCCGAAGCCACTCTAGGTAAAACACGAAGCCACCCAAATAGGCTTCGGATCGGTTACACTGAAGCCCGAAGCTTACTCAATAAGCGATTGGAACTAGGTGTACAGATTGACTCTACAAAGCTAGACATAATTACAGTCACAGAAACCTGGCTGACACAGTTTGCAGATAGTATGGAACTTGATTTCGAGGGTTTTACGTCAGTAAGGACCGACAGAATATAAAAGCGTAAAGGAGGGGGAGTAGCTCCATTAGGAATGCTATCCCACTCACCATTATCGACAGTGTTTCCCATGAGAGTGTGATGTGCGAACAAGTTAGTTGCCGCTTGAAATGCAAGGGACAAGAGCTGCTGATTGGTTTGGTCTATCGCAGTCCAAGCTATGAGGTAAATGAAGTCCTGCCAAGCAGTCTCAATACTTGGTCAAAAGTGGTCGATGTCTAATCCTAGGGGACTTCAATGCACCTTTGGTAGACTTGGAAAATCTGCGGACTAGATCACTAGATAATTCCTTCGAGCAGGAACTAGTTGATGCGGTTATCACATGTGCCCTAGTGCGACATGTGAAAGAAGCGACTAGGTACGACCCGGACACTGACTCATCCATGCTACATCTTATATTGACTCACTATGAGGAGGACGTTGCGAACCTCAATTACATGCCACCCCTAGGTAAAAGTGATCACTCAATTTTAACATTCGACTTCCATATAACTATCAACCACGAGCACGCGTTAACTCAATCCAGACCTAACGTCTGGAAAGAAAACATACCAGATATCATGCACTCAGCATAGTTAGTAGATCGGACAATAGACCCAGAATCCTCAATTGAAACGGCTTGGGACGCATTTTGAAATTCAGACTTAAAAGGTACCACACCCCACACCCCTTGGACTATACCAAGGGGACCAAGAAACTCCCCATCATGGTTCAGTAGGGAGGTCCGTATCCTTCTCCGTAAGAGAAGAAAAACGTGGGATAGATTTAGGTTACTGGGGACCGATGAAACAGAATCTCAGCATCGAAAAGTTCGGAATACTTGTGCCTCGACCATCCGTCAGTCTAGAAAGTTGTACGAAGAGGAAATTGTTAAGGAATCAATAGAATGTCCCAAACGCTTGTATTCTTAGATAAACCAAAGGACAAAGAGAAGAGGAAATATTCCTGCTCTATGTGGAGATAACACTGCCGCATCATTAGTGAAGGACGACTTTGGTAAGTCTCAAGTGTTCTCAAAATACTTTAGCAATGTATATACCATAGGAGCGCCCTTCCCGACAGCTCATACAGATCCCCCACACATACACTGGATAGCGTGACCATTAAAGTACTCGATGTCTTCGGTCTACTAAATAAGCTTGACATAGGTAAATCCACGGGGCCCGATGAATTACATACTAGGCTACTGAAGGAATTATCTAATTTCGTTGCGAACCCTTTAAGTATATGCTTTGACCTATCCATAACGCAGGGTCGTTTACCCAAAGACTGGAAAAACGCCATAGTAAGTCCTGTCTTCAAAACGGGTACGCAACACAAACCTGAGAATTACCGCCCCGTTAGCCTAACTAGTGTGGTTGTTAAAATATTAGAAAAGATTATTCAGAAGGAGCTGTTTAAGTATCTCGATAAAAACTGGATCCTTTCGGAGAAGCAGCACGGCTTCAGAATAGGTTATTCTTGTCTTGACAAAGTTCCGCACAACCGGCTGTTATATAAGTTAAGAAATGTCGGGATCGGAGGCAATCTATTGATGTGGATAAAAGACATCCTAGTTGGGCACCAACAAAGAGTACGGCTGAACTCAAAGTTATCTAGCTGAGTAACTGCGCTTAGTGGAGTGCCCCAGGTACAGTTTTGGGGCCAGTGTTATTCATCTTGCATGCAAATGACCTTCCTCGTCTCCTATCATCATTGGTCTTGCCATATGCTGACGATGTCAATATATGGAGAACGATGCGATGTAAGGGTGATAGCTTGGAACTCCAAAATGACCTGAAGAAATTATCTGAATGGTCTCATACTTGGCAGCTGCCGATAAATACTTCCAAGTGTGTTGTGATGCATATCTGTCAACATGGTACAGATACATACACGATGAATAACACTGAGCTACCTGTCGTCCAGACATATAATGACTTAGGAGTCATCGTTAGCCAAGACCTAAAGAATACTGCACACTGCCGTGCAATAGCCGCCAAAGGGTTTAGAACGTTATGGTCAATACGTACGGCTTATAGTCATGTCGACGCTAAGACGTTTTTGACTTTGTACACAGTGTTCGTACGTCCTAAACTTGAGTACTGCATACAAGCGGCCAGCCCCTGCTTAAAAAAAGACAGTGAGCTTCTGTAAAAAGTTCAGAGAGCAGCAACTAAGTCGATTCCCGGCATAGAGAAGCTTCCGTATGAAGCTCGACTGGCCAAGCTGAACCTTTTCCCGTTGTCACATCGCAGAACTAGAGGCGACTTGATTACAGTTTTCAAATTGCTTAGTGCCAAACCCGCACCTGATATGCCCTCATTTTCCTTGTCTTCCAAAAAAGAGAATTTACGAGGACGCTCTAAATAAAGTTCACAAGCCCAGAACAAATTACTTATCAGCCGACTATCGACTTTCCCATCGAATCATCAACGAGTCGAATTCATTACCTCAGTACGTGGTTGAGGCTCCATCCGTCGACTCTTTTAAAAGAAAGTTGGATCAACTGAGAGATCACCATTGTCAGGACTAGCACAGGCCATCAAGCCTCCTGTCCTTCTCAAACCGAAACTGAAACCGATCAGAAAGGCGTACGCAAAAATCGGTTGATTTCAAATCGACTGATGACAACCATCCTAGGAATGTTCCACTCAGCCGTAGGATTTTCGTTATGTACTTTGATCAAGAGTACCTCGTATCTAATGTTAATTATGTCCATAATTAACCAATCAAATCGTTGTTTAAGCACCCACCACGTTGATCTGGTCTGATGTGTCTGTAACCTATCCCTGTTGCTTGTGACTTACCAATTGGAAGACATTATTGTCTTATTATATTAATGTGACTCATAGTTTCATTCATTACGATAAGGCACACAATACTGGTGGGTGTGTTTGTGCGTTTCACTTAATGACTTTAATTCCTTTAATTATTGTACTAATCTAATTGTTTCTACGTTTAGAAACAGATAAAGTTTGAAGCCATTTGTCCTTGTTCTGACTATAACTTTCGCATAGACTCTGTGCTCGCCAGTATCTCGTTTACGTTTCTAGTAGTATA